ATTATTATTATTATTATCATTATTATTATTTATTTAAATTTTAAGTTTTTGCGTTGTTTGTTTGAAAGCTCGGTCGTGATATATAAAACTAAAAATACGAAAAAAAAAAAAAAAATTATAAATTTTTTAAGGTTAGAAACCTTCACCGACATTTTGGTTTTAAACGGAAAAAATATTTCATTGAATTTTCTTTAGGTCAAAACCATCCTTTTTTTTATTAATAATAACAATCGTCACGTGATCGTTTTTTTTTTTTTTGGAAAATTTTTGTTAGGAAAAGTTTATTTTTTTTACACACGAATAAAATTCATTCGGGGAAATTTTTCCAACTTTTCTTTTTTCTTTTTGGGGAGTTTTAATTGAATTTATATTTAATCCACGTTTCAATTATTATTATTATTATTATTATTATTATTATTATTATTATTATTATTATTATTATTATTATTATTATTATTATTATTATTATTATTATTTCCATTGAAAATAAAAAAGACAGGAAAATTTCGTTAGTAAAATTTTCGCAATTTCGATATAAATTACGGGTAAAACCTTGGGGGGAGCCTATAATGCTATCGAATTGGAAACTTAATTAAATTTTTTTTTTTTTTTTTTTTTCGGTTACATTGTTTGAAATACCAAAATTTATTATTATTATTTATTAATATACACGTGAGGATGATGCACGGGGGGAAGGGGAGGGGGGAGTGAATTATAATCATGAAATAAAAAAAATGGAGGAAACCGAAAAAAAGGCGGAATTGGATTTTTGTATCCGTATTATTTTAATAAGACGCCATTCAAGGTTTAATTGATAAAAATTAGGTTTTAGCCTTGATAATGGAGAGTTTTTTTTTTTTTTTTTTTTTTGCTTCCCATGATATTTTTTTTTTTTTTGTACCTTTTTATGAAATTGTCACAATTATTTGTCAATTATTGCCTTGTACCTTGTGGGTGGGGAGGGGCAGACATTAACTTGGCCAACGGATATATATATAATAATTTTGACATTTGGCGTCAGACGGGAATGGAAAAAATAGAAAAATTATTATTATTATTATTATTATTATTATTATTATTATTATTATTATTATTATTATTATTATTATTATTACAAAATGTAAACGTTTTTAAAATGTAAACAATAATTTTCCTATTACAAATCCACCGAGATCAGAAATATTTTTAAGATTATTATTATTAAGAGCAAATATTTTGTTGAAATTTCCTTCCCCTCCCCCCATTTTTTTAATGTCATTTCATATATACCGTCACGCGCACGCACACGCACACATACATATAAAAAAATTTTTTTTCTGTTCAGGTGATGTTGACCGTCAAAATAAAATAACTCAAGAAATTTTGGCAAAATATTTGCAGCGACGTCTTTTCTCCCATTTACTCAATACTCGCGCCCAATCTGTCCCAGTCGGAAATAGCAGACAGCAAAAGGCTAGAATACACACGAGAGCCGATGTTTATAATCAAGATGATGGTATCATAGAAACCGTAGAACCCGAACGATTAACGAGTTTTCCTTTAATTGAAGAAGAACTTCAAGGTAAATTCTTTTCTTTTCTTTTTTTTGTTTTCGTTTGCGAGGTGTCGACATTTTTCCCCCTCGGATTTGTTGTTGTTGTTGTTGCTGTTAATCTCACATACTTTTGTTTATACAAAATTTAAATATTCATGATTGTTTTAAAAAAAAAAAATTTATTTGACATTTTGAAAGTGTCTAATTAGCCTCAATATGTCATAGAAAAAAAAATGGCGTCTATAAATATTTAATTAATATTTAGATATATGAACGAAGTATTATTATTATTAACGAAAATTACCAGTAGGTATATTTTAAATGAGATTTATTTATTTATTTATTATTTCGGTGAAGATTTTTTTTTTCTTTTCAAATCACATCCCACGTGATATTTTGGCATTTTTAAAAAATTATTTTTTTAATTAAACTTTTCATTTACTTTCCCATTAATCATCGTCATAGAGTAAAAAAATTTGATCTTTAATAAGAGTGAGTTTCTTTCTCTATGACGTTGGTTTCGTAAAAATTATTGCGCAGGTTTTTACAAAGGGAAATAAACATTGTTGTCATTTCCGCGAAGGGATTTTCATTTTTATTTTCTCTATGACGTGGGTTTCGTGAAAATTTTCGCGCGGGTTTTTACAAACGGAAATAAACATTGTTGTCGTTTTCGCGAAGGGATTTTCATTTTTATTTTCTCTATGACGTGGGTTTCGTGAAAATTTTCGCGCGGGTTTTTACAAACGGAAATAAACATTGTTGTCGTTTTCGCGAAGAGATTTTCGTTTTTACAAAATGGTTGACTTATTAATAATAATAATAATAATTTGGTGCGTTTTAAAAATGGGAAAGTTTTCTTTTATCATTTTCCGACTATAAAAAAAAAAGAGAGAGAGAGAAAAATTTAATTTTCGTAGAATATAATAAGGATGAGTTTTTTTTGGGTAAATTTCATGAGGTCAAGTTTATACGGTAAACGTGTCACGTTCCTGTTTTTTTTTTTTTTTTTTTATGGTGGCCTCATAAGGTGAGGAAAAGAGTTTTCCTTTTTCTTTTTTCCTATTTCACACGTAGTAGGAACGAAAAAAAAAATTAAGAATTTAAATATTGATGAGAACCAGCTGCGATTATTATTTAAAAAAAAAAAACTTTCTAATCGTTTCATTAGCGAAGTGAGATGTTTACTATTGACTAATAAGTCGTATAAATTACGTTATTTCGTATATAAAAATTAAACGGGTTTTATTATTATTATTATTATTATTATTATTATTATTATTATTATTATTATTATTTTAAAAGAATCTCAACAAACGAAAACAAACGCAAACAAACGTTCAAACGTGTAACATCAAAAAATACTTTTTGTTTTTCGATTTTTATATTTATAATTGCTTAACGAAAAAAAAAGTTGAAAGTGTGAAGTCACAAATGAAAAAAAAAAAATTAAAATGAGTTCAGAAATTATTATTATTATTATAAATGTCGTGGTTTTAGAATTTATATCGTTCGAGTTTGATTTTCGATACGAGATCGAAATTCGAGGGAAGGAGGGGGAAAAACGGACGCAAGTTTAAACCTTGAACGGAAGATTCAATATAATCAACCTCCCTTCCCTCCTCCTCCTCCTCCCGATCTATCTCCTTTTTTTACTCTCCTTTCACTTTTTCTTTTTTTTCTTTTTTGTTTATTATCATCGGGATATCGTATTAAAATCGTTTTAACGTTTGGTTCATGTATTTTTTCATTTTGACGTGGAAATAGATTTTGAAAAAAAAAACCGCGAGAATACACGAGAAAGAATATAAATTAAAATAAAAAATTGATTGGATGATTTTTTTTTTTTTTTAAATTAAAAATAAAAATAATAAAAATTCAATCGAGAGTAATGATGATGATAATAATAATAATAATAATAATAATTACAAAGCAATCTTTTTGATTTGATTTGATTAAGCAATCAACGAACGAACGAACGAAACACTTGATAGAAAAAAAAATAAATAAATAAAAGAAATTCGATGAACAATTTTTAAATGGCGTCCCCCGTTGATTCTAATCGCACGTCAAAAATCGTAAATGAAACAATCATTTTATTCTCATCCGTTTTCACTCGTTGAGTTAACATTTTCTTTTATTATTATTATTATTAATTATATTTTTTGTATTTATTATAAAGGAAGAAAAAAAAAATCTAACGGGAAAATTATTATTATTATTAATATGCGGAACAAAAGATATATAAAATGTTGAAAAAAAAAAAATTGATGAAATTGAATATTTCGATTATAATTACGTAGTTATTATTATTATTATTATTAACCTTTTCAACCTTTTTTTCCCTCGGTTTAATAATAATAATAATAATAATAATAATTTGATCATAATTAAATTTTTTTGGGGGAGAGCGTGTCGTAGTGCGCGAGGTTAATAATTTTCTAATTCCACGTAATAATATATTTTAAAATTCGATTACGTAATTTGAATTGTCGCTAAGGTGGAATTTTAACATCCTCGCCTTAAAGAAGTCAAACCGAATGAAACCGCGCCTGAAAAGAAAAATTTGCAATTTTTTTTTTATTAATTTTTTTTTTAAATGATCACACCTCGCATAGAAAAAGTCGCCATTTTGTCACCTACAGTGTCACCACTTTCATATTTATTATTATTATTATTACTGTAAAAATAATAATTACCTCCGGGAAGTTGTCGCCTACTCGGTAATTATTATTATTATTATTATTATTATTATTATTATTATTATTATTATTATTAAAGTGTCTACGGGAGGTTTTCGCGTATATACACATCCCTCACGATTCTTCCTTCACTCCCCTCCCTTCCCCTTCAGTAATATCCCGGTGACAATTCCTTGTTTTGTTGAATGCAAAATATATTTAAACACCTGCCATAATGAAATACCCATTTTCGTGAAAAAAACAAACGTCACTGATAGAATTTAATTTAAAAAAAAAAAAAAAAAGAAAAAACCCGTTTTAGGTCCGCGACCCGTGCCTGTACCTAAGGCCGAGTGTAAAAAATTCATTTCTTGTTATTCCAGTATTCGCGTTCGTGGTCTTTAAATCTTTCACGTTCATTTTCATTTCATATCTCACGTTGTTATCATCGGGTATATTTTTTTTTTTTATTTTTTTTTTACTTTGTTTGTCATTTAAAGTTTTTTTTGGCGGGAAATTTTAATTTTTTTTTTTTTTGAAATTTCGAATTAAATATGGCGGCTTTTGGTTTTTCGTGATATTTACAATAAAGTGATTTTTATTATTATCATCGTAATCGATTAATGTAGAAACTATTTGTTTAAAAAAAAATATTTTTAAATTTGTTTTGTTTTTTTTTTTTTTTTTTAAAAAAAAATGAATTGTGATTTTATAATTTTTTTATTTTTTTTATTCGGACAAATAACTCTCGGATCGTTTTATGCTGCCGTTGATAATAAATCTTCCAAAACAGGTAAACGATTAACATTTTATTAATTTATCATTATCATCATCATCATCATCATCATCATCGAATGTCGAGATTACGCTCCTACCCACATAATAAAATACCAACAACTGTAACCGAGGTTCGGGACGGATTAAATGCGTCATTTTTCTTTTTTTTTTATTTTTTTTTCCTTCAAGGAACAATTATTATTATTATTATTATTATTATTACGATCGAGATAACGAGGATATCGTGGTAGTAGTAGCGAATAATTCAAGTTGTTATCATTATTATCGTTATAGTTTTTTTTTTTTTTGATAAATTTTTGTTTACATTCGTATAAGTGCGTGTGCGTGTGCGTGTGCGTGTGCGTGTGCGTGCGTGCGTGCGTGCGTGTAATAATAATTAAATTGTTTCGTACAAAAAAAAATTTTATATAATTAATATAATTATCGCGAGAGAGAGAGAGAGAAAATTTTTGTTTGTCGTTTGTTCAGGTTCAGGTTTTTAATTTTCCTTATTATAAAATAAATGTGGGTGAGGTTTAAACAATTGACGACGACTTTTTTTTTTTTTGTTTAAATCACATACCCTCGAGGGATTTGTTGTTGTTGTTGTTGTTGTTAATTCGGGAGTCGTTTGTTTTTAAATGAAACCGCCTTGAAATTAAATTTATAAAATTATTATTATTATTAATATTTTTTTTTTACAATTCTATGATGATTTACGAAAATATTCATACGTGTTTGTTTGTAAAAGTAACAAACAAACAAACAGACAAACAAACAATTTATGTGTTGAAAATGTTTGTTGAAGAATTTTTAATTAAAAAAAAAAAAAAAAAAAAAAATTACACAAACGCAAGGTCGTCAACTGCGTTTAATAAAAATCACGGAATAAAGAAAAAAAAGAAAAAATAGTTAAGATAATAATAATATTTATAGTATTTAATTAATAGTAATTTGTCGTAGGTAAAAAATAATAATAATAATAATAATAAAATGAGGAGGGGGGTGGGAGAAAACGGTAAAAAGGATTGAAAAAAATGAATGTGACACTCGCATAGCTCCCCCCAAAGGTCTCTCAATCAAGGTTGTCGTGCACACACACGCGTACCTGGTTTTAATTCGTGCTAATTTCCGGACATTTTTTTTTTTACGCTTCGAGCCATTTTTTTTTTTTTTTTTAAATATGTTCCTGGGTGGTACCTACGAGTATTGACGTCCTGTCACTATTCCTATGATTAACTCCCGACCGTAATTTTCTTTTTTTTTTTTTGTAAGACGTCAAGTCGGAACGTGACGGGGGTAGGAAAGGACTCGATAAACGGTTGTAAAAGGAATGCGGGGGAGGCGGGGAAAACTTTGAAAAAATGGGAGGTGCGGAAATAAATGTTTAATTAATCCATTTCGCCATTATATATAAAGTCACGGTTACCCGAGAGAGAGAGAGAAAGAGAGAAAGAGAGAGAGAGAGAGAGAAAGAGAGAAAGAGAGAAAGAGAGAGAAAGAGAGAAAGAGAGAGAGAAAGAGAGAAAGAGAGAGAAAGAGAGAAAGAGAGAGAGAAAGAGAGAAAGAGAGAGAAAGAGAGAAAGAGAGAGGGAGAGAGAAAAGTAATAATATTCGATATAAAAAAATACCTTAACTACTGATCGTGAGAAGAGTGAATGAGAATACCTTAAATTTTTTTCAAGGGTAAAAAAATGTAAAATTATTCACGGATGAATCAGTCGGACATTAAAAATATTATTATTATTATTATTATTATCATCATCATCATCATCATCATCCATTATTCATTCTTATATATATATTATTTTAAACTGTTTATTTTGAACTTTAAAAAAAAAGAATTTCAACAATTTTTTTTTTTTTTTGAAAACCTTTAAAAACTAAACTTAAATTTTTTGTTAAAATCAAGGTTCCTCATTTTTTTTTTTTTTCGTATCGATAAGCGATGATGATGATGATGATAATATTATTATTATTATTATATTATTTAATTTTATTTAAAAGCGTGCCCGGGTAAATGAAAGGCAATAATAATAGGAAAGATAAAAAAAATATTTAAAAAATTAAACAATCAATCGGGGGCACATTCATTTTCTAATAATAATAATAATAATAATAATAATGAGGGCCCCTCAAGATAAGCAAAGTCATTTATATTGACAACGTAATAAACACTTTTCAAAAAAAAAAAAAAAAAAAAAAAAAGGTTTGTTCGTCATGTAAGACATGCCTAAGTTTAAAATTAAATTTCTCTTTAGGAGGAAAAAAATGGGGGGAGGGAGGGAGAGAGGGGGGGGTGGGTGAGAGAGGGATACCGTCGAATTTAAAGTTAACACCTTTCTTTGACATAATAATAATAATAAAACACTCGATGAATTATGAAGAAAGTAATTTTGGGTAAATAGAAAGAAAGAAAGAGAGTAAGTGAAAATTGATTCTTTAAAGTTTAATGTTACCGGAAAAGTTTATTTTATCAGTTTTGAT